CAATTTTCATAAAGCAATAGAAAATTACATCTCTTATGAGAGTATTTTAAAATTTTTTCAAAAAGTGTTATTATCATTTTCTTAAATTGTGACATCCAAGATGTCCCGTGACACACACCTCATATCCAAACACCTTATTTATAATATCCTACAAATCAACTATACTCTATGCATTAAAATCATCGAGTTTAACTAATAAGATATTCATCATTCAAGTTACAATTCCACTATATCAAGAAAACTCAATAAAAAAAACTCATGAAATGTTTCTAGTCACTGTTTGAATATAAAATGAATAGGCGTTCTATATAATTTATTAAACATTCATCTCTCTAATTTCTTACTTTCCCTAGGTGGGATCTCCCAAGTTGGGACTTTGGTTCCTCCTCCAGTCTTACTATATCTGCAAATGATATATAATGAGCATAATCTAACTTAGTAAAATAAATTCAAAACACAAATATGATACAAAAATACATTTGAACATTTACTCTAGTATTACCCTATTCCCCATCCTCATACTTCCCTCGCCACACTCTCTTTTTTTCTCACCCTACTTTATCCCTACTTTGCCTCCAACCACCAAACACTCTACCAATCTTAGTTCGGCCACACCAGCCACTTATTGGCCTCAATCTAGCCACACACACACCCTTTTCGGCCTTGGTTAGCCACACAAACACTCCATTTTCGCACTCCACCATCGACTTCACTCCCCACACACACCAGCCTTTCCTCGGTTACACATGCACACATACCAACAATATACAGCCACACACGCACACCAGCCCCCCTTGGCCACAAGCACAACAACTGTACACCGCCACACACACACACACACCGACCTTTTCTTGGCCACACATACCGACAATACATGCCACTCATTCAACTAACTTTCCCTTGGCCTCACACTTCAACCATCCCCAACCACAAATACGCACGCACTGACCTATTACTGGCCACACACACATACATACAAGCACTATATACACATACCACACTACTCAATCCGAGTATCATTGCACATAATACATTATTCACACGCCAGTAAAAACAGGTACCAGAATCGGCACCACAACCTCCCACTCTGCCACTGCCAACATCGACGCTTCAATATTCATCTTCTCTAGTATCGATATCGGTACCTCACCAGCAAAATAGCCATCGATTTCTCACCAATCCTCGACTTAACTCCATTTCGGCCGATTCTCTTCCCTCTCCCTCACTTACACTCAGCTCACTAGCCATTTAACATCTCCCTACCTCTTCCCGATTAGACCTCTTCCATATTGATAATCTACATAGAAATTCAATCAATATCACCATAACAACATCTGAGTATAGGAATTTATTTACCTCTAATTTCCATCTCCTCCTAACTGTGTAAAATACTCTCCACCGGTATGTTTCTTCAACCGCTGTTATTGATCTCTCCTTCCCCTCTTCCCTCTCATTCTTTTCCTGTCAATCGACTCCCTCTCTTTTTTCCTCTTTCTATTTTTTTTTTCACTCCCTTTTATATACCCTCCTCCCCATCAAATCCTACCCATCCATCCTAAATCTCTAATCCCCACCACTCATTTGTTTGACTCTCTTCCCCCTTTGACTCTATTAAGGTATTACAATCATCATTAATGTTTCTATTAAAATTAAAAAAAAAACCAAATAAAAAGATTTTGACTGGTTTGATGAGTTTAATCAATTAAAAATCAGTTTGATATTCATCTTAGAGTTTCTAAAAATGAATCCATCAAATATCAAAGTTGTAATTTAAAATACATAAATTGAAAAAATTAAAAATCATCAAAAAAAAAATAAAAGTATAGACAATTCCATTTATAATCATTCATACTTTACTCAATAAGTTTAATTAATTTCTTTATAAATATTACAAGAAAACAAGGGAAATCAGATACCCTTACCTCAAATTTATGTTATGGTTAAACCCCATATATAACTTATCATTATAATCATAGAGGTTCTCATGCACTATAACTTAATATGTGATTAAACCTATAATTCTATATAAAAATGAGAGGTCTTTTAACACTCTTTGCAAGAAAAATACTCAATCCATC